ACTTTTGGAAGTTGAATGTAAGGGAAATGTCATTTTGGAATTTCTGTGGTCTAATGTGATATTGTTGTTCATGTATGATCATGATGAAATTTTCTTTTATTGTTGTAATTAGTTTATAGCATTAACAAGATGACCCGCTGAATTCATTTTGGGAGCTATGACTGATTGAATGTATTTTTAGTCCAGTGCCTGCATATAAGATTAGTATTGACCAAGTTCAGAGGCTGTCATATGTGGATCAACTTACTATGTTGTGTATTTTCAACAGTTTCAATATGAAAAATAACTTTTATATTGATTCAATGGATGTATTGCATTTTGGAAAAAAAAAATTAAAACGTGTCATGGATTTATTGCATTGTAGGAAAACATTTATACAATTTTATAATAAATCTTTGAAAATCAAAATCTGCATTTGAATTTTTAATGTTATTATAACCTAAAGATGCTATGTGAAAGTTTGAAACAGAAAATAGTGGTTTTCATCTTGCCACTTTCTTGGTAAAGAAAACACATTTTTACTCAAATTAATCAAAATGGATTTATAGCATTTTGGAACCAAACTCTTCATTTGTTTAACTCACAAACTATATGTTGTGTGGGTACAAACACTCACTATAAGGTCCTCCAGTCTGTCAATAAATATACCCTTTTTATTTATACACATTCTTTAAAACTCTTTACCAACCCCCACCTCACAGGGTAGGATAACATGATGCACAAATCACTGCCGGTACTCACTCAAACCAAAAATACAAAACTCCAATCAATTCAAAACAAACAAAATAAACTCAAAGAAACGAGACAAATTAAATCAAAACCATGGCAATCTGTCCCAAAAATACACAAAATACAAACATTAACAAAGTCAAATCACATAAAGCACGTCTAAATCAATTCCTTTTCAATAATCGTTCCAAAATAACTTCAAATACACTTCATACCTGTTAGCACAGCAATATTCAATTCTGACCACTCTGGTCGTTGAGGTTCTCATGGGAGTGCATCAAATCTACAAATATACACATGTAAACCCATACACAATATTCCCGACAAAGGTAAATCACATAAAACACATCTAAATCATTCATAAATAACTTCAAATACATTTCATACCTGTTAACATCATATTCAAATTCAGCCGCTCTGGTCGCTGAGGTTCTCAGGGCGCACACCAAATCTATAAATACACATCTTTAAACCCATGCACAATATTCCCGTTGTCACCCAAAAAAAAACTCAAATTACGATTTTACTCACCCTATCACAATTTATGTGGCGTTCTCACCGCATTTCATTGTTCTGTGCATCACTTAATTTGTTCCGTGTGTGTAAGTATCTAAATAGCCCATAGTTCCTCCCCCCACCCCACTTAACCAGAGCGCGCAATACTACATATAGTTAACCATTTTTTGAGTTTGGTTAGCTGAACAACTAGTCTACTGATCATATTACAGTTTTTTCAGCTGCTTTCACACATTTTCAAAACTTTGCCTCTTTTTTTTCCACACTTTACACACAAATCCAAGAATTGCACACACAAAATGCAAAATGCCTCAAATCTCAAAAGCAAAAATTTGCTAACACCTTTGCCATAATATTAATTCCTGTTAGATTTTTGTGTTACATAGAGAACTGTGTGTTGTGTTTTGCAAAAAGTGTTTTATGAAATTGAAAACTGAGTCAAAGGCTGAGAATTAGTGTGGTTCTGGTGTTTGAGTGTCAGCTGTCAGAAACTGTGTGACAAGTGAAGATTTTGTGTGTAAGCAGTTGAAAAAAACTGTAATGAAGACCTGTGTAATTAGGCTGGTTTCTGATTCAATTGACCATGTCTGGACGTTTACATTAGATTTGTTCTTACATTCATGATTTAAAGTTATGCTTTTCATGGTTGAAATACTTTTAACTTTAAATGATTGCAGTTATTCTAATGTTATTGCCTGTAATTCCACTGATCCTTTATCAATAATAATTCAATTTCCCTAACTACTGGTGAAGAATGTTTTGAGCAGCACTATATTGTGCACCTGTAGTCATCTGCTAAAGAAGGTCTCGCACTTCCCAGGGTTCACAGCTCCGTGTGAATGCCGATTTCCCACCTTCTCCCAAAACAAGATCCCTCTGGGCAGGAGATCCCTCAGGGGTTCAGAAGGAGGTGTGAGGGGAGTGATTTAGAGGAAAGCTCAGTGTGTGTGTGTGTTTGTTAGGACTGCACGATATATCGTTTCAGCATCGATATCGCGATGTGCGCATCCGCGATAGTCACATCGCAGGAAGTGCGATATTTAGGCTATTGCTCGTTATATTTATACTGATTGTTTTCTTTGCTCACACACATCTTGTGTCATATATATACCGTATATGGTTATTTGTATGTATGTATGTATGTACAGTATCTCACAGAATTGAGTACACCCCTCACATTTTTGTAAATATTTTATTATATCTTTTCATGTGACAACACTGAAAAAATGACACTTTGCTACAATGTAAAGTAGTGAGTGTACAGCTTGTATAACAGTGTAAATTTGCTGTCCCCTCAAAATAACTCAACAAACAGCCATTAATGTCTAAACCGCTGGCCACAAAAGTGAGTACACCCCTAAGTGAAAATGTCCAAATTGGGCCCAAAGTGTCAATATTTAGTGTGGCCAGCATTATTTTCCAGCACTGCCTTGACCCTCTTGTGCATGGAGTTCACCAGAGCTTCACAGGTTGCCCTGTCCTCTTCCACTCCTCCATGACGACATCACGGAGCTGGTGGATGTTAGAGACCTTGCGCTCCTCCACCTTCCGTTTGAGGATGCCCATGCTTGGCCAATCCATCACCTTTACCCTCAGCAAGGCAGTGGTCGTCTCGGATGTGTGTTTGGGGTCGTTATAAAGATTTCAAATTTGATATGCAAATTAATGCTGTCATTAAATCCAGCTTTTTCCACTTGAGACGTTTGGCTAAGGTAAAGATATTTCTCTCTTTTAAAGACCTTGAGAAAGTCATCCATGCCTTTATTTTTTCAAGGCTTGAATATTGTAATTCCCTTTATATAGGAGTTAGCCAGCAAGCGTTGTCACGTGTGCAGGCAGTCCAAAATGCAGCAGCTCGGATGCTGACAGGCACTCAAACGAGAGCACATCACACCAGTTCTATTTTCCCTTCATTGGCTGCCAGTACGTTTCCAAATAGAATTCAAGCTTTTATTGTTTGTTAGGCAATAATAATTAGTTCAAATAAAGTATCAAAAGCAAGAAATCATATGGTTTTATTGAACAAAATTGTTAAAATACATAATGTATTATAAACAATAGAGCCAATGTACATTACGCATTAAAACAAAGGCCTGCAGAGGGAACGCCAACATCCTGACGATTGTTTTTACACATTGCTGCCCGATCTAATCCTTGTTTAATATTGACCAAACATAATTTCATTCAAATGTCCACTTAATCTTTAATATTTGGCCATTTCTTTAGGACAGAAATGCTATAACCACTGTAATTAAAAGAATATGTGGACATCAAAATGTGTAAACACAGAGTGAGTGTTTGAGCTTTTATTTTGAAACCGTGATGTATTCTCCTGTGTTTGCGTAGATTTATAAATGATTTACCTTACAAATCTGATGAAATAGTGCACGTTGCGTTCCCAGATGAACGTAATAATAAACCCAAACTCACAACAACATGCAGAGATGCAGTTTGAGACGCTCCATCATGTACTTAACCTACACGCATGTACATAATTAAAGCGCATATACTGTATTAGAACTGCATCGCATATAATTATTTAATTAAATCGTAGCGTTTGTGAATTCACAATTATGCTTAATTATGATTTTTAAATGGGTTTATTATATCATGCAGCCTTGGAAAACAGACTAGTAATGTGTTTTATACATTCTCGTCTGTGAAATGTTCCACTTCCGGTATTTTGCCTGTTAGTCGACGCGAGCAAAATGAAGTCGAGGATTTTTAAAAATCAAATAGTCGAATAAAGTCGACGAATCACGACAGCCCTAGAACAGTGAGTGATTTTCTCTTTGTCTTTTGTTCATGGCCCCAAATATTGCAAGCTGTAGCGATATGCATATTGCGATATGTACATTTGCGGTATTTCGATAATTTCGATATATTGCACAGCCCTACTATGCAGTGTTATTTTACATTTGATTATTCAATTTCTGTACCTGAATACTGTTAGACTTACCTGAAAAATATAAAGCACTGCTTATTTCATTTGTATCTTTGTTCTGTTATGTATGTATGGGGGGGGACTCTTTCCATTGTAACATGTGCATCAAGGTTTTTCAAGCAGCTTTGTATATCTAGGTGAGAAACGTGTGTGTATTGATGTCAATGTGGGGATTTCCATAACCTTAAGCTCAACGCACAGACGTTTGGTGTTGTTTTAAGGTTTTTCGCATGGACATGCCATTGTGAAGTGGAGGGTTAAGTAACATTGTGAGATATTTCTTTCACAGCGAGCGGATGTTACAGCCCTTCATGCAGTTTGTGTTCAACAGTTTATCTGCGTTTTAACAAAGATTTCACCCAAAAATTACAATTCTGCCATCATTTAACACATCATTTTTTTCATGGAAAACAAAGGGGAAATTTGTAAAGAATCATCACAGCTGTTTTCCAACAACAGTTTGTTGTTTTGTTGCAGTTGTAATGACCACAAGGCCAAGGCTATATATTAGTCTTCTGAAGTCATATGCAAGGAACACACTTAAAAAAATGAACTTATAATCTTGTCTTCCCATTTCTTCCCTCTGCGTAGAGTTTGTAAGTCTCAAGTATGCTGGAGAATGGTGTGTTTTGCTGTCGTCTGTCCAGATAATGGCATGTTCTTAAAGTCATTAGGCTGATTACACACACTGATTTAATGTGCTTGACTGTGGGCTCTGATCGCACACGAGCACTTCTTTGGGATGAGGCTGTACTGTGTCTCTCTCAGTCGTCACCTCTTTGATCGTACTCAGGTTTATAGATCAGTTTTTGTCAGCGGGTGGGTTTCAGAGCTGTTATAGGAGCACAAACAACTGGGAAAACAATGCTAGCCTTAATGAAGTTTATTCAAGTGCGATATATCATCATTCTTCTATTAAAATAAAAATAAGAAGATACTTTCAGTCTACCTTTTATGTACTTATCAGAGATAACCTTGACAAAATTATACTTGTACACTTGACTTATGTTGACAAGTATGCAGAAAAGTCTAAAGTGTTGAGCCTAATCTTGTAATCAAGATGCAATTAAAAGTATTATTAAATAATTTTTTTCACAGTATATGTTTTATATTTTATTTAATAAAAGTTAATGTTCATCTTTGAGGTGGAATAACAGTAATTTGATGCATGTGTGGAACTGATCCTGATCTTTTTTTGCACACAGTGTTATTAACCCACACAGAAACACAGACAGATTTGGCTGATTTCATTGCCAATTCCTCTAAGGTGTGAGAGTATTGTAACAGACTTGATTCACACTGCCTTCTATTATAAGCCATTAAAAAGTGACAATTACGGTAAAATACTGGCAGCTGTGGTTGCCAGAACTTCACCATAAAAAATATGGTAGCAACATTTTAAGTTTTACAGACTTAACTTTGTACAGAACTTAAATTCACAATAAAAAAAACCGTAGGCCTATTTCATTAACTGATAATGTTAATGAACCAACATATTGAAGCACTAATATCTGTTTTGAACCATTGTAATGCACTGATAACCACCAAAAACTGGTGGTGATGAGAAAGTCACATGATGAACCAAAGCTCACCACAAGCAGCTTTTCTACGAGCTGAGGAGGGCAATACTTGTATATAGAAGGTGCACAGTGTCATTCACACAAACACTAAACACCATCATGGTAACACACGATACTGAAATAATGCAATAAACATTCATTTAACAACATTAGATGTAAGATAAAACCCTAATGTACACAACTGATAAGAAAAAAACTAAGAAGAAACATAGTTATTTCAACAACAACAACAACAAAATCAAATATGAAGTGTCATGCAGGGAATTCTGGGAGTGTCACTTTACAGTTTTTCACTGTAAATTATAGAATGCCTTTTTCGTTTTACTTCCAAAACCCATAATTTTAACAGTATTTGACTGTAAAATTACATTAAATGTAATTACATTTATTCACCGTATATAGTATGGAAACTTACTGTTAGCCAATTAACAATTTTTTACTGTAGCATTTTTACAGTATTTTACTGTTAAAATCACAATAATTTTTTACAGTGCATTACCAGAATATATAATTCGAGATCTTAGCACAAAACATCAAGTCAAATTGCAAAAGGAGCAAGTCTTTTTTTGTAATACATAAATCATTAATCTCGTTTCTACTTATAGTACAG